TGACCAAATTTCATATGATTTTTTACATAAGAGATAAGATCTGGTGAATAACCCTTTTAGAGACATAGATTAGCAGACTAATTTACTTAGAAAAGAGGCATCTTTGGTCATTATGCAAGGACTCAGTCTCAGCTCTTTCTTGATTCATTATCAAGCAAACATTTATCACATGATTTCTATATGCCAACCAATAGGATAAACACTTAGAAAAAAATGTGTTTACCATCAAGTGTGGGGGACTTGGCCAGAATCAGGAAATTACAATGTTGGAGATGTCTACAGATGAGCCTGGAGAGGATTCAAAGAACAATCTACACATGAATAGACACTTCTCCAAAGAAGACATCCAGATGGCCAACAGACACAAGAAACGATGCTCAACATCACTCGTCATCAGGGAAATACAAATCAAAACCTCACTGAGATACACACCCGTGAGAATGGCTGAAATGAACAACTCAGGCAACAACAGATGCTGGTGAGGATGCAGAGAAAGAGGATCTCTTTTGCACAGCTGATGGGAATGCAAACTGGTGCAGCCACTCTGGAAAACGGTATGGAGGCTCCTCAAGAAATTATATAGAACTACCCTATGACCCAGCAACTGCACTACTAGGTATTTATTCAAGGGATACAGGTAGGCTCTTTTGAAGGGACACATGCACCCCAATGTTTATAGCAGCACTATCAACAATAGCCAAAGTATGGAAAGAACCCAAATGTCCATTGATAGATGAATGGATAAAGAAGATGTGATACACACACACACACACACACACAATGGAATATTAGTCGGCAATCAAAAAGCATGAAATTTGCCATTTGCAACTATGTGGATAGAACTAGAGAGTATTATGCTAAGCAAAATTAGTCAGTCAGAGAAAGGCAAATATTATATCTCTTCACTCATATAAGGACTTTAAGATACAAAACAGATGAAGATAAGGGAAGGGAAGCAAAAATAATATAAAAACAGGAGGGGGGCAAAACATGAGACTCTTAAATACGGAGAATAAACAGAGGATTACTAGAGAGGTTGTGGGAGTGGGTATGGGCTAAATGGGTAAGGGGCATTAAGGAATCTATTCCTGAAATCATTGTTGCACTATTATGTTAACTAACTTGGATGTAAATTTTAAAAATAAATTAAATAAGAAATTTCTATTAAAAAAAAAGAATGATCTAAAGAAAATCAGCTCCTTAACTGAGTCATTGAGTAAAAGCAAAGTTAAGATTGCTTGGAAACTAAGAAGAGTGCTAAAGGGAGAACAGTTATCAAGTACAGATGAAATAGGATGAGAGGAATTATCACTCAGAGGAAGGGAGAAAGCAAGGTAGAACATGGAAAGAAATGAGCCTAGTATTGTAATAAATATTCAGAAGAAAACATGAATCCTAAACCAAGCTGGGAAGTTTACACTTCATCTTAAAAGCTATAAGAAGATATTTAAAAGATGATAAAGAAAGGAAATAAAAATGGGAAGTGACAAAATAATAGTAAACAATGTGTTGCAATCTGGCATTCAGGTAGGAATTAAAGCCATGAAGATAAAGAAAAAGGAGACATCTTTTTAAAAATGTAGTTGATGCTTTATTCAGTAGCTATTGAGCATCTACCGTGTGTACTTGGCTAGGCGTTAGGACTTCACGATATCACTGAATGTCACTGATTCCATTTCTGTCTGGTAATGAGTGCTTGTCAAGTGCCAGGCACTGTGCTGAGGGCACATTCTCATGTTATCAAATTCTATTTTAGTTCTCATGCCACCCAATGAGGCACATATAATACTCCCAGACACTGAGATGAGGAAAAAGAGGCTTGGAGTTGTAAGGGATTTGTCTAAGATCACCAATGATGTAGACTTGAGGCAAATCTGGTTCCAAAGACCCCTTCTATTTTTTTTTTTTTTTTAATCATTGAGGAAAGTTTGAGAGATGCTAATGCAAAGATTATATTAATCCGGTTTTCAGTCAGTGAAAGGAAATCTGGATATTCCATTTAGTTAAAAGGACAGATAACAAATTGGTTTAAAGGTGATTGAGGAGATTAGGGGACATAAAATGAATGAGAGCAGTCCAGAGATGAGCCAGAATTCCAAGAAACTATTACCACTCCCAGAACTGGAGGTACTATAAAGAGAGGAGAGACTCTTGCCCTTTGGAAGTGGGAACTGCAAAGCAGTTGTAGCCATTTTTAAAGACTAAGGAAGAGGTATTTCTCCCCTGGTTTCTCCCTATCTTCTAATTTTCCCCCAGTCCTTGTCCCACCAATGTCTTCCAAGGGCTGGACCAAGCCAGAGCATAAGCAAGCCAGTAAGACAAGCGAGAAAAGGAGTATACAGGATCCTCCACCCCCCCAAGACAGAAACTCGTGTGCTTCTTTATGGAGCTTGACCTTTATCCATAGGTGTTTGAAAATGTATTGATTTTCCTAAAATGTGAAAAGTAGGTTAAGATTTATGCTTTACATTTATCACATCCCAGTTGCAGCATGGGTAAAGGAATTGGAGAAAGCAAGACTGAAACCAGAGAAGCCACTTAGAAGACTTTTGCATTAGTTCTGAAAAGACAGAAGATTTGCATGCTATGGGACACCATTAATCCAGAAAAGGAACAAGGGAGCAGGAGCATATTAGTCTGAGGAGAGAAGGTCATTGATTTGGAAAATACTAGATTTAAAGTGTTCCAAAGGAGAACTGCGGAGTAGGGAGCCTGAGGCTTAAGTGTCGGCGGAGGGAACATTTATTCTTGAAAGCCATTGGTTAATATAGCTAGTATTCGAAGCCATTGGGTGTGGTTGAGACACTGTAGAGGAAAAAGAGAAATATAATGTCAAGATGTCCCCAGAATTATATCATCAATTCTAACTAGTGTAAGAAAAATCAAGTAATAAACCTCTTGGTAACATTTTATAAAAATACAGCTTATATGGATCAATGAGCACCGAACAATGGAGGTGAGCTAAGTGGTCTGTGAAGAGTCTTCTTTTGTCCATTTAGTGCCACTAATGTGCAGTGAGCCAAGTAAAAGCAAGAAACCTGAAGAAACTGGATAAATCTCAACCTTTTAAAACAGATACAAGGTAGCTATCAAATGTGAAGAGGGTGTGAAATATCCATTCTAAAAAATAAATTCCCCTCTGAAATTTCAGAATTTAATATTATTCAACAGATTTGTATTTCTTTATATAAAGTAAATAATATCTGTACTTCATCCTATAGATAATGAACACGTTCTGTAGAGGTGTATTAATTCATATCTTGATAGAATCAGTTAATACAAATCAAGAATTTATCTATCAAAGAGATTATGCATATAACCATGTGTTAATATATGAGCATACGAATATACACCATTAAGGAAGTTTGCCTAGAACAATAATGGGTACTGATTTGAAATGCCCCACAATAATCTGAAGCATATATGAGATATATGCAAGAAGTTATAAAGGGACTATTTCTGTTCAAAACACTTTGAATATCTCATACAAGTAACACCTGAAAATTACTGAATAAAAATGTAGAAAGCTGCATATTTATAATCACAATAGTAAAAACCAGAAATTTATCTGATTACTTGATGAATCTCAGAACATTTTAAAAATAACTGGGAAATCATTAGCCAAAAGGAAACACCCTTTTCCATCAGAACAATTTTGAAATACACTAATATGCAAGTTATTTATACACACTCACCCATATATATATTTTAAGAACGACTCAATATCTTAAAAGCAATCACAAAATCAGTCTTTAGCTTAATCCTCATCTGCATTTTAATGATTTCAAAATATAATCACATTATAGGGCTTGAGGTTGCATATTGCTGTATTACTAGTTTCATAGCATTGTGGCTTTCCATCTTGGTAGCAATAAATTGTAGTAAACAGAGCCATTAACAGCATTTTTATAGGGTCAAATGGAGCTATGGCACTAGAAATGTGGTGCTAAGTAAAATTTGAAGGCCACTATGTTACACTCAACTATTTATTAAGGCATTAAAATCAGATCTTCTCAGGGATGTTTGAATGTTTTTCATGATCTTTTCCTCCCCTTGACAGTTCTAGCTTTTAAGTGGCAATTTGGGGGGGAATGAGTAAGATTTCAAAAAGTTTGAAGTTCTTATTAAAATATAAGCTTTATGGGGCGCCTGGGTGGCTTAGTCGGTTAAGCGTCCGACTTTCGCTTGGGTCATGATCTCGCGGTTCGTGGGTTCGAGCCCCGCATCGGGCTCTGTGCTGACTGCCAGCTCAGAGCCTGGAGCCTGTTTCAGTCTGTGACTCCCTCTCTCTCTGACCCTCCCCTGCTCATGCTGTCTCTATCTCTCTCTTAGAAATAAATAAAACATTAAAAAAAATAAATAAAATAAAATATAAGCTTTATAAAAGAATATGGCACTCTAAATAAAAGTAATTAATACTAACTGAAGAGTAAAAATACTCATCATTATATTTAGAAATATCGTGTTATGTTAATAATTTGAATGAAGGTACTAATGATTTTGAATTTTACATAGTATATGGGGCATCTTTCATTAATACAATGCAACCAAACTGGGATTCTCTAGTTCTCTAAGAATGTATTAAAGATCAGTTTTGGCTTAATAGAATGAAATACCGATAAAATACTACACTATAAAACCATCCTTTAGTTAAGAAAATCATTCTTTACTCACCTATGCATCTTTTTAGGTTGCAAAAACATAGTAAATTTTATTACACACATGTCATTTTATGAGAACATAAAAATAAAAAAGTTACATAAATTTAAATTTTCTATTTGACTTTGAGTACACAAAAATAACATTTTCTGAAATAATAGATTACATAATCCTAAATAGCTAACAGTATTAATTAAGTTTTAACATAACTTCAAATATACTAGTATTAAAAACAAATCTGGTTCCATATGGGAAGATTATTTTAGTTGTTCATAGAGAAGCATGTTCTATATAAGCAAAATTATTTTCTTTAATGCAAATTAGAAGGAAAAAAAAGTCAAGTGCTCGCTTTGGCAGCACATATACTAAAAAATTGGAACAATATAGAGATTAGTATGGCCCTTGGGCAAGGATAACACATAAATTCATTTAGTGTTTCACACTACATGAAAACGAAAAAGAAAAAGAGTCAAATTTTGTACACATGATTTCATAGCTACTGTTACATGGGTTAGAATATAAGTTTTGGAAACTAAGTTGACTTAAAGTGATATTCATTAAATAGTAGCAAAAATGGCACAGATATGATAAAAATCTTGCAAGTAGTATGTGAACAACTGATATTGGAGAAGTATGCATGTAGTCCATTCCTTCTGCATTATTATAAAAGAAACTGAGGTTCAGAGAGATGCAATGGTTTACACAATTTAACAATATTCAAGTACAAGAGCAAGTCCAAATACCTGCCTCCTATTACCTACTGTGCTAGGTTAAACCACCTCTGTCTACCACCCCCTTGACAATTGCATTAATTGGAATAGAATTGAGTATACAAATTATGAGTGCACTCATACAACTAAGTCTTTTAAGAAAATTTTGGATAACTCTTGAAACAATTAACTCAACATAAAACTTACCATTGGTACATAGATGCATACCCTAACACTTTCTAGAAACAAAAAGAATGATCCATTGTCTTAAATCACTTAGGTAGTTTTTCATTATGAGAGTGGATATTCATTATTCATTATTTACTCAATTTTGACAAAATTGTTCTTGCATTAATTTTCTTACTAAATTAAACTGTTAAATAAACATTTATTTAAAATCTGACTTACCATCTTTTCCCTTTCTTTTGATACCTTTGTATGCCATCCCATACATAAATATTTCAAATAATGGTCAACTTGAATATAATTTACATACATTTATTCTTTAAATGTATCACTTAAGCAGAGTGATTTTGGTTGTGCTTACATTATTGATAGGTATTCTCTTAAAACAAATGCAAGACTAAAAATTCGATGCATTTTATATAAAACTTTTCCCCATGGATCCTAGAGAAATTCTTTATAATTCAATAGTATTTTGCTCTTTGTATTATTTTCTGGAGGATTTAAAATGAACTATACTTTCATTAAGATTCTCTCAGGATGTTTGAGGCCTTTACATAACCATAAGTTTTGATAATTCATTCCCATATAGTAGAAATTAGTGGATTTTTATGTAAATAACATACTTTCTTTTTTAAAGTCTGTAAATTAGAAACTGTTTGTGGGTGGTCTTGTATGTGTCCATCTATGAAGTCTGCTCAAAGATCTGTTCCTTAAGTCTGTTCCCTTATTGTCAGGGGAAAATACTCTTACTTCAGTAAGTTAGATTTATGTAAAGAAAATCTATAACCTATTTGACAATTTCCTAAATACTCAAAATCTGAATATATAAATTGTTTATTATGAAGGTCCTAGTCGTTTTCACCCTCCCTCAATATTTATAACCATTTTATGTAGGGCCCATGCATAGCAGTGGGAAAAGAGAGATGAGATAAAACCTTCCGTATTATTATTTGATTACTGATCACATAGCATTTAACTAAACTTTTCACAATGAAAATGAAGGATTTCAGTATAATATTTTCATGTATGACCATCAGCCTCTTTCAGGAGGCCAATTAAAATTTTGTTGTAGCTAATTAAAACTATAGGATACTACCACATACCTTTCAGAACAGTTTTTCAGTATCTTGTGAAGTGAAACTTACACTTACCTGATGACCCAGAAATTCCATTTGTAGGTGTTTACTGAAGCAAAAAGAAAATTTCCTCCACACAAAAACATTGTGTGAATGGTTATAGCACATAACCTCAACTTAGGAATGGATAAACAGTTGTATAAACACTCAGTGATGGGAGTACTACTCAGCAATAACGAGAGATGCACTAATATTATACCAATAATATGGCTGACTATCAAATATTAATTAGGTGAAAGAAATCAGCCTCAAAGGCTAGGTTATAGTAATTTTAGTAATTCTCTATTTTTTTTTTAATTTTTTTTTAATGTTTTATTTATTTCTAGGAGAGAGAGAGAGAGAGAGACAGCGTGAGCAGGGGAGGGCCAGAGAGAGAGGGAGATACAGACTCCGAAACAGGCCCCAGGCTCTGAGCTGGCAGTCAGCACAGAGCCCGACGCGGGGCTCGAACCCACGAACCGCAAGATCATGACCTAAGCGAAAGTCGGACGCTTAACCGACTAAGCCACCCAGGCGCCCCGTAATTTTAGTAATTCTCAAACATAGGTTTATTATGAGAATGAAAATCACCTTGCAGATGTGAAGGTGCCTAAAATGAAGGAAGTACTCAATGAATTGGGTTCCTAAAATAATATTAGGGTAATGGAAACTCTACCATTGTCTGGATCCATTAAATACAAAGAACTCCAGTGTTTCAACAAATATGATGGTCTCATAATACATGGCAACCAGTAATTAGTGTTTTGGAGGAATCACCTTTTTTCAACAATACCAACTACATGAACCCTAAGTAAAACTAGAAAAGAAAGTGAGGAGTGTCAGTATATCTTAGGCTTAGTTCTAAAACTAACTTAAAAGGATTTGATTTTTTTATTGCAGAAAACAGTCTTGCTTTTTGTTCCCACAAAATCTGGCACATAAATGTTTTAGAATATTTCACATCCTGTTCAGAAAGAAATATCTTCTGTTTCTTACCTGCTCCATGGAAATTTGCACAATTTACTAAGTGATTTGTCATTACATAAATGGGCATTAATTTAAGTTTTTAACTGCACTACATGGTGGCCTTTAAATCTTCATATTTATGTCAAAGTCTGCATTTGTGAACCTATCTATTCCACCCTGCCAAGCTTAAAGAGAAACTTAAAGCTGCCTGTGAGTCCATTGTTTTGAACTTGCTACAACAAAACATTGTTGTTACTATCCTGGAACAGGAGTGTGCATTTCACCACACACCATGTGATCTTCCACTGGACTAAATACCTGTGATTCTTGCACTGAATTTAATATTGAGCAAGTAAAATGTATTACAGCTGAAATATCAAGTGAGATAATGTAGCCAATGTAACACCTTGGTTTCTCTGGATATTTCAAAGTTATCTTAAATCTCATAGTGATATAATTTTACAACTCTTAAGTCTTTTCATTATTGTTCTATACCAAAGTATTGCCATACATCTAATAAATGTATTTGGCAGTTTCATGGGATGCAGTTTCAATGTATAAAATCTATGGTATTTCTGTATTTTAGCAACAGTTTAGAAATTGAAATTTCTAAATTTCAAAAAAAAAAAACCACAGTACCATATAAATAACATTAAAATGAAAATTTTAAAAGGATAGCTTTAACAAAATTTGTGCCAGACTTGTTCAATAAAATACACAAAATGTTTCTGAGAGAAATTTTTAAAGGTGTAACTAAATGGAGATATATTAAAAAAAAAAAAAAAAACATTGATCAAAGACTCAGTATTGTTAAGGTCATAGTGCTTTCCAAAGTTAATTATGGGCTCAACGTATCCCAATTAAAATCACCTTTTTTGTAGACATACAAAAACCAATTAAGACCTTAAGTACAAAGGATCCAAAATAGACTAAATAATTGTGGAAAAGAAAACAAAGATAGAAAATACACATTATATGATTTTAAGAGTTGCTACAAAGCTACAGTAATTAAGACAATGTGTTTGATGTAAAGAAAACATATAGATCAATGGAACAAAAAAATTCCATAAGTAGATAATACACACGCACACACACACACACGCACCCCAAATTGATTTTCAACAAAGGTGGTAAGGCAATTGAATAAGGAAAGACTTGCCTTTAGGAAAAAGTGTTGAATTAACTGAATATCCATATGCAAAAATATAAATACTAATCCTTATTACATGATGTTAAAAATTTAACTCCAAATAGATTAAAGACCTAAAAGAAATAAGGAAAACAACACAACTTTTTGAACAGGACATTGGAACAAATCTAAGTGGCTTTGGGTGAGCAAATGTTTCTTAAGTAGGATACAAAAAAAGTAAATTAGACTTTATTTAAAGTTAAAACTGGTGTTCTCCAAAGACATCTGAAGAAAAAGAAAGAGCAAACTACATACTAGGAGGAAGTATTTGCAAATTTTGAACTTACATCCAAAATATATAAGTAACCCTTGCCTTACAACTCAATAATAAGAATTCAAGGAATCTAATAAAAAATGTTGCTTTAAAGAGACTCTCTGGTAAAGAGCCATCAAAAACATATAGAAATGGCAAATAACCACATAGAAGGTACTCAGTGTCCTTAGTTATCAGGGAAACACAAATTTAAAACAAACACACTAAATAGGCTAAAATTTTAAAAGTAACAAATCAAGTGTTGGAAAAGGATATGGTGCAATCAAAGCTCTCAAACATTGCTAGTTAGAATACAAATGGTATAATATGGTCAACTAATGTTCAATAAAGCAGAAAGAATATCCAATAGAAAAAAAGGCTTTCTTCAACAAATGGTGTTGGGAAAACTGGTTGATGATGTGCAGAAGAATGAAACTAGATCACTTTCTTTCACCGTAAACAAAAATAAATTCAAAGTGGGTTAAAGACTAAATGTGAGACAGGAAACCATCACAATCCTAGAAAACACAGGCAGAAACCTCTCTGAAGTCAGCCACAGCAACTTCTTAGTAGACAAATCTCCAAAAGCAAGGGAAACAAAAGCAAACATGAACTGTAGGGACCTCATCAAGATAAAAAGCTTCTGCACAGCAAAGAAAACAATCAACAAAAGTAAAAATCAGCCTACAGAATGGGAGAAGATATTTGCAAATGACATATCTGATAAAGGGCTGATATTCAAAATCTATAAAGAACTTATTAAACTCAACACCCCAAAAAACAAATAACCCTGTTAAGAAATGAGCAGAATATATGAATAGACACTTTTCCAAATAAGACATCCAGATGACTAACAGACACATGAAAATATTGCTCATCACTCATCATGAACATTCAAATCAAAACCATGATGAGATGCCTTCACACCTGTCAAAATGGCTAAAATTACACAAAAACAACAGGTGTTGTAAAGGATGCAGAGAAAGGGGAACACTTTTGCACTGTTGGTGGGAATGCTAACTGGTATA